ACTGTCTTTAAGTAACGTTAGTATGTAGGAAGACTTATTTTATAAAAACCGTCTTATATTACAGAGCCCTCTGATTCGTGGCATCAGGTACTGATGACTACATTATTCTTCGATTCTTGTTCCTCCGGACTTTTAAATATTTTTAATTTTTGGTAAAATAGCTCAAATTTGCTATTTACTAGTGTTATACGTTATTATAGCCGATAGTGGGTCAGCTTGTTGTGTTTCAATTGGTGATTATCTTTCTGCTATGTCATATATGTAATCCTCGATTAAGGATATTTTTGTTTCTTTGTGGAGGTCAACTATTCTAACGTATCTTCCTTTATTCGATGCTAATCTAAGATATTTATTTTGGTAAGTATGTATTAGTTTCACATTAGAGTGTGCTGCACAGTTGCGGCACATGTCATTACAGGATCATTTTATAAATTAGAAGTTTGTTATTAACTACTAACTGCAGAACATTAAGGAGTTTAACGGTTTCATAGGTTTTTCTTAACATTGTTCTAATGTGAGACTTGTACATAAGTTTAGAATCAAGATTGACCCTCAAGTATTTCACTATTGTTTTGACTTATATGGTTGTGTATCCTTTTTGGTCATCTAAAGCTAGTGTCCTTTTCCCAGCAAAAATTATTGTTTCTGATTTTCCTAAGTTGAGCATGATTTAATATTTCTTGTAGTACTATGTACCTATGTAATAAATCTAAGTGTATTTCCACTTGTTTCGCAGCGACTTTTGCAATAAAGGAATGAGTATACATTGCCATGTCGTCTGTTGAAAGCGCAAGTTTGGTCCTTGGAAATTTGATTATATCGTTGACATAAATATTAAATAATTGTGAACTAAGAACGGAATCCAGCCTAACCTGAACTTCAATGTTTGTGGGCAACAATTTAGTGTTATTTACATTTATTCTATGAATCCTTTTACGAATTGTAAGACATGAGTGTATCAGTCTTATGATAGGCATTTAAGGTTATTTCTTCAGTCCATCGATCCATACGTTATAATACGCATTTTCAATATCTAAACGTATCATTACAGTGACCTTGTTTTTGTTATTATTCCTTCTAATATTATTGATAATTCTTACTATCTGCTGCAAAGTGTTGTATTGTTCCCTGAATACAAATTGTTTATCGATAACTTGCATCTGTTACTTTTCATACTTTTCTACTTACAGTACTATCCTTTCTATGATTTTGCGAAGGCTAGACACAGACAAAACTATGGAAGTTTTACAGTACTTTGAGAAATAATCAATTTTGATAATTGCATTAATATTTACACTAAAGGTTTTCGACTGATATTTTTCGGAGCAATATTTTGAATACTATCATCATAAGGCGCTTTTAAAGAGGAGTTTTCATAATTATCTTCTTTATTTCAGCTGGCGAAGTAATGGCATTATTGTATTCTTCATTAAGTCGCTTGGCATCTTTAAGCACGTGGTTTCTTGCGTTTCTACAATATCTTGTTGCTCAGTTGTGTTGTTAACTAATTCAGTGTAGTGTACTATTTCATACTAACGTGTTAACGTCTTCTGCTTTATCTACGTCGGTTATTGCCTCCTGAGAGTTTCCTACACTTAGGATGTTTTGATATTTCCTTTTGAACATTTTTGTTGCTCTTCATAGAGATTCATTGTCAATTTTCTGAGTTGTTTGTCAAAACCAAATTTCTGTATTCGCTTATTAACTTTCAGATATTATGGGTTTGTTGATTGCATATGTTTTTGCATAATTTATTCCCAGTTCAGAGTCCAGTTGAAAGAGTCTTCTGATGCGGTTACGTTCTTTACCTTTACTTTAGGTAAGATTTCTTCAAAAATGTTGATATATTATTGGTATATTGTGTGTTTTGTTATTCATACATGTTTTCTGATACAATTTTATTTTATTCGATCAGCCTTCCTGTAGCACTCTTTTTCAAATAAGTTGTGTTGTAGCAATTGACAATTTTGAACAGTATAAATTTGTGATCTGAGACTAGATTATTTAGCACTTTGTGCTCAAAAACGTTACTAACATTTTTATTTAGTGCCAGGTTAATAGTAGTTGGTGTGCTGCCATTCACTGGATACGTGATCTTGTAGTTTGATAGGCTGTAGTTATAGAACATAAGTCCATTATGATTATTAATGAAGCAAACTTTAGGTCTACAGTTTAGGTCATCGACAGCTAAAACCTTAGGACAGGGATGTCCAACCGTTGCGCATTTCAAGATTTCTGGTAGCGAATAAAACAAGTTTCGATAATAAACAAAAAGAATAATATAAGGTATAGAAATATTGAAATTAACTCATTGATCTTCAGAATTTAGTCAATACATTATCATGACTAATTGCCCTTAGTTTTTTAAAAGCAAAATTTGGTATTCTTCTTCCCGTTCCAAGAGATGTTGACTTAATAAATTTTTGTAAGATCATACGTCCCGAAGCTTTTTACAGCCAACACCATTTGCATTCCAGTTACACATTACTAGATTAAACGGCACCATTATTGAGCTATTCGTAAAATTATAAAATATTTGAAGCTTGTTTATATGTAACTTACATTTGATTAATTTGTGGTTTAGTTCCCTACCTAGTTCTGACATCCTCCTGAAATCTATTACCCTTTCTAAGTTTGCCATTTCATAGATTATTGCCTACCGCTTGCTTGGTCATTTTGTCCATTGTGTTGACTGGTATCGTTATTGCTGTTTGCTAATACTTCTTTATGAAGATATTATTTATGTGAGGGTACGTTGGACTCTTGTATCCCCGTTCGAATCTTGATTAATTTCACACGGGATTCTTTTTCCTCTAATGACAGGATATTTATTTTATTGGATTCTATTTTCTGAGTTGGCTGCTCTCGCTTGAGCCGTACTCGTTGGAGTGGTCCATTCATAGGTGTAGTTTTCCTGATTTTTCTTTATCCATTCCATTCTTTGCATTTAGTGCAGTTCGTTGCATGATCGTTCCCCAGAATTAGCACATATAGGTAAAGAATGAGATATGAGTCGGTAATGTACATTATATGGTGTGTTTCGTTTCAGTGTTGCCAGCATAGATTCATTAGTGGCTGATGACGGCCTACCCCTATTCCAGACACTTGTTTTTGTTTATGGTCAGGCATCTTTAGGCTTAACAAGGAATGGATGATAATGGTTACCCATCCTAGAAATACTCCGCACCTTGCTTAACCTCGTGATCGATATCGATCTGTGAGCCAACGGCAGCCACTTGCATTTGGATGTTTTTTGGAAAAAGTATTTAAGGACAGCTTGCATGTGTTAGTCATAGTCTCTATCTTTTTTGCACTCGTTAGTTGAGTGGCTACATGTACGCATGCTTGAGGCATTTGGGTCTGACATGGCAGTTTGTAGTAGCACGCTCCCATTTTTGGCAGTCCGGTGTTATTACTTTTTTCTTAATATATCTTTCCCATCTTATTCTTGGTATATGGTAGGTGGATTACGAAGATTTTTGTTTTGTCGTTTCTGTTAGTTTAAGTATGATACTGTCAGTTTTCATCTAAGTTTGTGCTTAGTTTGTTGCAGTTGTAGATGTGTGCTAATCTGTTAGTTGCGTATTTAATAAAAAAATTTTCTTTGTCGTATTTTTGCCATTAGCTTGGTATGTGAGATACTGTTGCCATGAAGTATTACAGAGTGTGGTTTCTTCTTTCGTTGATATTGATCACACTTGTTTCAAGTTATTTTTGTTCCAAGTTCACTTCCTGTTCAGGTGCTTCTTCATTAAGAACTGGGAATCTGTTTTTTAGAGTGATGTTTGGGTTTTGTTCATTTTTATGTTTTCTCTTTGATTGGCATTCTTTTTTTTGTTATCATAGTTTTAGTTGTCGTTTTAGTTATTGTTATTATAGTATTAGTTATTCTATTATTAGCAGTCGAGATTAGTGTACTAAATGAGCTTCCATTTCCGTATGTTCCTTTCCGTCCACTTAGAATTAGTGAACCTTCGTCGTCCATCTTTGCCAGCCGGATATCCATAGCTACTTTTATTCTTACTTGGTCTGATAGTTTATAAATTAGTTATTAAATCAGTTATTATTTTTAGTGCTATTTACACCTTTTTAACTTTTCACCTTTCACCTAATTCACCTTTTTAACTGCTGGGTTGCCAATGCTCTCATGTCTGATGCTGGCCCGAAAATCGGGACAAGAACAAATATTTTCAGCGCAATGTGTTTATTTCTGTTTTAGAAAGATATCGAGTGATGAAACAGCAACTAGAAATTTAATTGACATTATATTAATATAATATGCTACGTCTTGGTTCGCTGGATGACATTAAGTAATAGCAGACGTTTTTATTCAGCTAAGATTCGTATAGAGGTGCAACCTTTAGACTCAACCGGCGCGCAATTCTGATTCTGTTCAGGATCCGCGGTTTAGTCGTCTGCCAATTTAAAACGCGAGAAGATGGCTCACTGAAGATGATCTATATCGACAGGTGATCTATACGTGCGTGTCCTGGTTTCTGTGATCGAAATGAATTCTGAGACGATTGATAGGAGTTTCGTCGTTTGGAAATTCGGAACTTAGTAAACTAATGGAATTCAAAGAATGGGATTGTTTTTTTTTCTTGCTTTTGAGTCATTTTTTCGTAGTACCTGAGATTGTGTGACGAGAGTGGGTTTGTGTAATTACTTGTTGGAATAACAGGAAAAATTTCCGTACTTTTGTTACTTTCTGTGTGGGATCTAACCGTCCTCGGGTTTGTGTCGTGGTGATTGTGTGTTTTGGTAGTCTTTTCCTAATTTGCAGTGGGATGTCGTTGACAATTTAATTTCCTGTTTGACTGATCAGTATATTCTAGTGCTCTGGGTGATAAACGGTTTCGAATTGAGTATGAACATCGTTTTGATGTAGCCTTACATTGTTTGTATGTTAGCTATTGCTTGAAGTAGGCCGATCGCACGGTTCATTCAGTGTGATGCGCAAGAATTTATTTTGTATTTTTTGGATCTTGCTGACGTGTGTCTTAGCTACTGCAGCTCAGTTTCGATGGCCATATCGGTCTGCACGGCATGATTTGTATGAGAGTACTTTTTTCTTGGTTTTCCATTTTTTTTTGAGAATAACGGATACAATCTGTTAACAGCAGAGTAAGCCAGATTTGCTGATGTAGTCTTGTATATAGATGTATGCTATGGTATTTGACCGTGGATGTCCATGAGATGCTTTGATATGCTATGATAACTTGGTCAGTGGACTTGGGTTTCCTGTCGGTAAAAGTGTAACTAATGCCTTGGCTGAGTAAACTATGAGTTTCCATTTGCAGAAATATTATTGTAGCTAATCTATATGAGCTTAAATGTATTCTGTTGCGTTTTCGAAGCACCGTGAGGAGGCAAACATGGCAATAACATCGGCATAAGCCGGTAAGTGGGAATTTGGATGCTTGGATGTTGTTTATGTAAAGAATAAATGAGAGCGAGCCTTGCGCAGTAATGCGGTTTGGTGGTTAAGAAAATACCGTTGACTGAAATGTGGAATTTTCTATTTTTTAAGTAGTTGACAATTACGTTAAACAAGAGCGTGGTGTTTATTCTTTTTAGTTTAATTAGGAGGGCCTGATAGTTTGTGCCAATCTGAGTCAAAAACTTTTCCGAGATGTAAAAGAATAAGATAAGTTAATCTATTTTTGTTTATTTCTAGGGTGATGTGTTCCATGACACATTGTAGCTGTTGAATGCAGGAGTATTTTATCCTGAAACTACTGTTGTGGGATGATTATGTTGTTGTTTTTGACATGAGTTAGTAGGTGGATGAGAACGATGTTTTCGAATATTGCTTAGGCGATTAATCGGCCGGTAGCGGATAATTTCTGTGGCGGGTTTTCCCTGCTTCGGTATTGGGATTATTTTGACGAGTTTCCACACCGTAGGAAAATAGCAAAGTTTGAAGCAACTTCTGAATATGTAATAAAATACTTGGTTGGGAGTTTTTTAAATAGTTATGGAGACTTTGTCCGGTAGAGTGACTTTGTTGTTGGAGAGGAGCATAATGTGCTTATGGATGAGATTCGAGAGCAGATATCTGTGTAATTTACGGAAGGGAGTTGCCAAGTTTTGGAAACCTTCTTCTATGTTTGTTTCTTTGTTTGATGAGGTATAGGTTGGATCTTCGGAAGAGTGTTTATTTTGGTTTTGGTGTCTGTGGGTTGCATCGCGGAAAGATTTTGGTATTTTCTGACTGAAGTTGTTGATTTCACTTTCTGTGCCGGCTGTGGTCTGTAGTTGCAGGATTATTTTGAGTCTAACAAGGTTATTTGCGAAGGCGTTCCAGACTGTCTACGCTAATGAGTTCTGGCATCTTGAGTTTCAAGCGAAGGAGCTGAAGGTAGATGGTTCATCTGTGGTCCTGCAATTGTATAGAAAAGAAAAGTTTATTAGGAAGGTAAGTAGAAATGTTGGAACTAATGCAGTTTGGTTTCCTGTGAGTGTAAATGGAGCTGTAAGTGGTACGATGGCCGTAGATTTCCGCGTGATTCTTGGAAACGGATCCGTTTGTGTTTCTACTTGTGTTGCTCCATGAAGTCGTCGCCTATGGTACAGTGTAGTAGTATGATAGGTCATTCACTTCAGGGGGGGTTAATTTTAACTTGGGAGGGGGGAGAAGCCGCTCCAGTGGTTAGTCTACGGTTGTCTGATTTTGATTAGTATTTCTGTTTGAAGTGGCTGGTTGTGTTGTATCTTCCGTAGTAATGTCCTTGCGAACAGTTATTAATCTTGGCTTGTTTCCGAAGGTTGGTGGTCCGTCTTGTCTGTATATTTTGTAGCCAGGAATTTTGATGATGTCTTTTGGAGCCAGGATTCGGTGATAATCACGATATCTGTGTTATGGTCTGTTCGAAATTTGAAGAGTTCATCTATCTTGTTCGCTCGTGGCGTAATAATGGATGCGGTTTCTATGGCTGGCCATTGTCGAGTTCTTTCAATATTAGAGTAGCTCTGTCCCTTCCTGACATTGTTGGTGCAGTTCATATAATATTTTTGAATGAGTGTTATGATTTTAGGGAAATGATTCAGGCCTGCTGAGCTCGTTTATTTGGTCGTAGGTTTGTGTTGGTCGGAAATTCAGTTGGTTGAAACTGTTTTAATGGTTCAGGTAATACTTCTCTTGCGTACGATGTCCTTTGTTTCATTCTACAGTTTATCTAAGAGCGGAGGGAGAAGTGAGAATTCTACTGGTAGTGAAGTGGTGGAAGTTTTGTTTTAGAAGGGATGAGGTTCGAGGAAATTGTTGTGTGTGTTAAGTTTTCACGTTACCAGTGGCCTTATTTGGCGAGAAGTCTAGTAAGGCAAGGCACTTCGCATAATTGCGCGCAGTTGGCATATAGTGGAAGAGTTTCAGGTGTTGTTACAAGATCATTCGTCATGCTGACCAGCATGTTTAACTGTGTCATGAGGAAAGAATTGCTTGAGGGATTATGGTTGGGTTTGTGGTGCGTTGGAGTTGCCGTGTTTTTTTTTTTTTTTTTATCATTATCTTGCTCGTTAACCAAGCAGTCAGCAAAAACGCTGTTTGTAGGTATGGCAGGGTTGCATGGCAGAATGTAGTTGAGAGGAAGTTTGAAAAGGATGTGATTTTTCTTGAGATAACCTTAACTTGTTCTTGTGTTTTTTATTCTTAACCACCGTCCTGCATCCTTTGCAGTCCAGGTTTGCTGTTGAGGCTTTGTTGTTTGTAACAGTGGGTTCTCGCTTGAAGTCATTGTTTGATTCGTTATTACGCCCACACTTACTCACTGACCACTGCGAATGAGAAAGTTTATTGAGTTTCCTTGCTCGGAAGTTGATTGGGACAGGATTGTATGTTTTATACAAGGCCGACTTTCTTTATGCTCTTCACGACAACGTCATCGGAAAGGTGGATCATTTTCAGTCAAGATTCACCGTTGTGCAAAGTTAGATCCATAAAGTAATATTCGCAATTGCTTTATAGGCCTAACAGTACTGCACAGGAATGTCTCCCTTATTGTATACGTTTGGGCCTAATCAATAGGATCAAGAAGAACGTGTTCCCTGGGATCTTGTTACAAAGGCAGAATGTCGGATATGCAATCTGAGTTTCGAACTGAGGGCACGCCATGCTAATTTGGAACAAATGTCGTCGGTCGTCACATAATAACAAAATACAATGTACCAAAGAAGAAGACTAAACTATCATTCTCAAATCATTTTATTGTCTTCGATCAAGATCCATTTCTGGTAAGAGTTACAAAACACAACGCAGACGACTACAGAACACTAACGCATTAATACTAAAAATTATATCAATGCTACACACTATGTACACTAATAAAAGTATTATAAGAAAATTAGAAAATAGAACAAAAATTGCTTTATAGTCACAAAGATTACTATAATATACACCTGCTTAAGCGTCCACAATCGGGACCGAAAGCAGATTCTTAAGTGGAGGGTATAATCTTCAAATTGACACCAAAAAAAAGAGAGAGGATGAGCGCCAATTGTTGTGAGATATCAGGCACGTGTCGTGAATTCGAGCACATATTGTTACACAATACATTATCTGATTGTAAAAAGACTTAACATTTTAAAATTTTACTTAAATTTAATACATTCAAACCATTTTAAACTTGAAACTTTTAAATTATTAATATAATTATTATAATTATTAATTATTAATTATTATAATACTTAAAGCCAGCGGTTCGTAATATTTATGACATATATGTGTTCTAAATCCAACATGTCGATTAGGAATTTCCAAAATATTTGTGCGTATAACTCGCAGGAATAGGTTACTTAAGAAATTACAACTAGGCGTCCCATAAATTTCAGTTAGTCTCAATTTCGGTGAGATCTTCCACACCATAGTGATGCCATGTCACAAACACGTGTGTATCCGAAGAATTGTCCAAGCAATAGGATAGTTTCCAGGTTATGGGACTACTTTCAGAAATAGTTGGACTATTTCCAAATGATGGGATCGTTTCCCAGAACTGCCATGGTACTCTCATGGATGGGAGACATATTAGATATAATGAGATATATTAGAAATTTCTCCCATGCTTTCCGATTAGTCTTATCTCATCTCCGGCTCCACTCAAAATATTATTCCTCAAAAGCTTTTGGAGAGACATAAGTTCTTGATATAAAGGAGAACTCTAAAGATCACATACAGAAGGACGAGCATTCGATAATATATTCGTATTCAGACAGCAAAGCAGATACACATTATCTGAAACCGAGTAATTCGAAATATTTGCGAACCTTCATGGGTAGAATTCAGTGTTCATAACTAGGATGATCCAACTTTTACAACTGAAAAATTCACCTTGTAAAGATCATTCAGTCCAGAGTGATCTGAGAACGGACGAAATAGCCACCAACCAGGCCTGCACAAACGTAGAAAAATACACTCAATGGACAACAGCAGTAAAACGGAAGCTCAAGGACGATAAAATCAAAATTGTAGCTACCCGAACACAGTCAACGTCGCTCTCCGGTTCACCATCAGTCACCAAGATTAAAGATATGGGCATCATCAATCCGGCCTATAACCTAATATAACCTAATAAAAAAATTTCTCCTTGGTCACAATACGGACATTGTTATCATGACTGAATCCTGGTTAACACCTACAGACATTTTCAAACTCCCAAATTATAACATTTGTGAGAAACATGGATCTCCCACTATCTTTTCTATGGCCAAACAAACCAAAAAAAAAGAGTTCATAGCCATACATAAAGATATTCCTGTTGAAGAGATCCTTCAACCTATTTCAGCTAACACAGCAATAGAACTGAAAACTATACCATCACTCATCATCGGTGTCGCATATGTACCGCCGGAAACCAAAATAAACGAAACCGACTTAGATAATATTATCTCTACCCACGGAACAAGACACTTCCTTATCGGTGGAAACTTCAACACCAAACACCGCATTTGCATTAATTCAAACAGAAACGCGAACAACGCTAACAAAAGACACACCGTAACACCACACAACAGTTTCAGCTCATAACATAAGCCCAATCATTGATCCATTCTTCTTCTACATCATAAAACACAGAACCAGAATGCAAAGAAAATACCGAAGGACTATCTATAAACTGCAAAGAAACATCTTTGCAAATGTCATACAAAGAATAACCGAGGCAAAGAACAATACATGGCAGCAAATATTAGCTAATACAGAAATATCAATCACACAAATGTCTGTTATCGCAAACATAATGAATTACTGGTTTGGAGGTTTCAGAACTAAAATAATCCTACTACAGGACACAACATAATTCTTTGCTCGGATGAGGAAAAATCTGAAGTCTAGCTCAAAATTTTGAACAGGTACACTTGAACGCTTACAGCACGTATCCTTCTTTACAACTGGACATCAAACACAGCAACATTTACCAGAGTGATCCCTCCAACTCCCTCCAAAGAAACTTGCTATCCTGCACTCCTAGAACAATCAGAAACATAATAAAGAAACTTCCCAATAATCCCTTCGACAAGATAACTGTCATGATACTAAAAAACCTACCAAACCTATAGTACAGTTATAATACATTTACAAAATCTACTTAAATTTTGCCTATTTCCCAACTGTTAGAAAAATGTTAAGGATTATCCAATACTGAAAGGGAAACCCAGAGTATGCAATTTATTGTAGACCAATCAGCCTCTTAGACATTTTAGACAAGATACTTGAAAAAAATCATTTACCGACATCTCCTCACCCACATAGACGAATCTAAAGTAATAATTCGGCTTCCGACAAAACCAGTCACAGCGCTTCACAGATCATAATAGAACGAAACAAGAAGAAATAACTCAATTCATATTTTTGGACTTCCAAAAAGCATTCAATTCTATTTGGCATAGCGCCCTATTACTAAATTAACTAAATTACATGCAATAGATATTCTCGTATCTCCCATCAATATCATTACCCATTACCACCTCAGCAGAAAATTCTATGCCTCTATGAATGGTACAAATTTAGCAATAAAATATTTCTGAGCCAGTGTTCCACAGGGAACCATACTCGGTCCTCTCCTTTCCATTTTATACATAAACGATCTCCCCAGAGCACAAAATGCACATACCGCCATCTATGCAGATGACAGTGCAATACATGTCTGTTCATGGATCTCTGGGAGAGGTACCAAATACATTCAAAAGAGTATTTCAAAAATTGGAAATTAACTGTGAATCCCAAAATGACACAAGACATCAATTAAAACCAATCATAATCGCAGATCAAAACATTATCTTGTCCTCCACTGTTAAATATCTAGGAGTCATCCTCGACTCTTAAACACAGGGCTCTTGCAATAGACAAAAAACCAACTTAGCTTATCCCGCAGACTCATTTCAAGCAACGGCAAACTCAAAACTAAACTTAAACCTCTATGAAACATGTATCACCTATGGGAACCAAATTTAGGCAGCTGCTGCAAGAAGGAACCATTCAGGAATACATTCAAAACTCACTCACAACAGCATATCCCAATTACCATAACTTACTTATCAGCAACACCGAAATATACGATGTCACCAACATATCACTAAAAATCAAGACCAGGTTTCCAAAACAT